TTTTTTTTTTTTTTAAACAAGATCTCATTAGGCAGTTCAGGCTGTACCTAATTTGCTGTGTAGCCCAAACTGGCCTCAAAATCGCAGTGCTCCTCCTGTCTCAGCCTCCTGAGCTGGAATTATAGGCATACCCCACCATGCCCAGATCATGTAACTCTTTATTGCCTGTTTCCATCTGGCTTTCCCGCTAGATAAGCTTGTTGGGCCAGAGAGCATAAGTTCTTTTTTTTAAATTATTATTTTATTTTTTTGAGCATAACTTTTGTTTTTACTGATAAATTAGGGCTGAGGAAATACCTCAGTTAATTTACAAAGGGAATGTGCTAGGACTACTGGACCATTTTCATGCTGGAAGGGTTGGAGGCCAGAGTACAGGAGTAAAGATGGTGTAACGACAGTTACACAAACCCATGCAAATTAAATATTCATATACTCACCACAGAATCTCATGGAGACACTTGTGTTCTCTGGGTCTCCATTGTATACCATCTAAGGGGTGGAGCTAAAGGGCTGACCCCCCAAAACAGCCCCTGCCACAGGCCACACTGCCTCATCCACAGTGCCATTCATTTTTTCCGTACCTGCTCCGAAGGCTACATACGGCCTGGGGTGTATGCACAGGGTGAGAGGGAAAGGGAGATTATTTTCCCCCTCTGCCCCGTTCTGAGTCTTTCCCCAGTTCAACAAATGTGCAGGTTCCCTTACTGGCTCTTGCAGTGAATGGGGTACAGGGATGTCAAGTGTTGCTGGCAGCCAGCTGGATGACTCTGTGCTGTGTACTTGGTCTGTGGATGGATCCAAGTACAGTGAGAGGGCGCAGGTGCTGGTCACAGCTGCTCCTACAGCAGTGGTGGCGAACCTATGGCACAGATGCTGCAGCAGGCTGTTTATCATTGAAAGATCTAAAAGGTTCACCATGACTGTCCGACAAGCAGAGAGAGGACACTCCCACTTCATATCTGAGTACGCCTGAACACACATCATCGCTGTTTATCAAATGATCCCTTCAGCCTGCCCTCTACCCTCTTGCCCCTTCATCGAGGGCAGAAGGAGGCTGGGCACCTGCTTCAGCCATTTGATGCCTTTTTGAATTTTCGTACTGTTAGTGTCCCAGGAGCTGCCACCCCAACCCACAGAAACAAAGCCCTTTTCTTTTAGAAGCCATCTGGGAGAACAATGGCTTTATTTGGAAAAAAAAAAATGTTTTTGTATACAAGAAAGGATGATTGTGCATCTGGGTCTCCTATCCGTTGGCTTGGGCTGTAAAGTGGAGGTCAGAGCTGGGTGAAGTCCCCTTTGTGCAGCTCCAGCCACTCGTCCAGTGTCTGGGCCTTGGGGTTGAGTCGCAGGGTCAACTCAATGTTGCGGTCAGGTTTCAGGGTGTAGAAACGGAACATGTTAGCCAGGTCACAGGCTCCAGGGAAGTCAAGCTTCTCATAGTCCTCAGCAGTTATCTGGAAGCAGAGGGAGCCCAACACATCTGGCCTCCTCCAGCACCCCAAGAAGGCAGTGAGGAGAACCGGGGGGTGATCTCTCCACATGCTTCCATGGGCCGCTTGGCCTCTGCATTGGTAACCAAAGTCCTCAGTATGAGGTCATTTGAAAACTTTCCAAAGGGAACCAAGTTTGGAAGCACTGTTCTCAAAAGTCACTGATACTCTAGTCATTCTAAAGTCTGTCCTTTCAGGACCATGAGGCTGGGGGTTTAGCTCAGTGGTTCCACCCGCCTCCTTTCAGGATCATGAGATGAAAAATGTCTCGGTCCCTCCCCCAAACCAGAAATCTGCAACACTTTTTTGGCTCCAAAATCAAAACTGTTCCTTTTCTCACCCAAGCGATGTCTCTTTTGAGGGCAAGGAGTGGCTTAGTGGAGATTCAATATTGGGCCTTCACACTGAACTACATCCCCAGCCCCCGTCCCTTTAAATTTTGAGATGAGGGCCGGGGATTTAGCTCAGAGGTTTGGTGGCCTGCCTTGCAAGCACAAGGACCCGAGTTCAATCCCCGATACCCACCCCCAAATTTTTGAGACAGACTGTGGATTTAGCTCAGTCGCAATGCACCTGCCTTGTAAACACAAGGTCCTGAGGTCCTGAGTACGATCCCCTGTTCCACAAAAGAAAAAAACAAAACAAAAATAACTCTGAATTTTGAAACAGGGTCTTGCTAAGTCACTAAGTTGTCCCAGTGGAAATAGAATTCATGATCCTCTTGCCTCGGCCTGCCAGAATGCTGGAATTAAAGGTGTGTACCACTATACCAAACAAAACCAAATCTTAATTTCTTAGCTCTAAAGATTCTTCATGGCCCTCTAGGAGGCTGAGGCAGAAGAATAAACAGTTCAAGCCTAGCCCAGATAACTTAGCAAGAACTTGGTTTAAGAAAGAAAGAAAAAAAAGCTGGGAATGTGGCTCAGTGGAAAGGCTTGACTTCAGTCTCCAGTACTAGATTATTTATTTATCTTTGAGACGGGGTCTCACTGTGTAGTTCAGGCTGGCCTAGAGTTCAGTATGTAGCCCAGGCTGACTCCGAACTCATAGCAACCTTCCTGCCTCAGCCTCCTGATTGCTGGGATTACAGGTGTGCCACCACCATGAGAGGCCCCAGATTTTAATGAGCAAGACAATATTAGAAACAAAGCATACAGGGGTCTGGCCAGGAAACCTAATGGTCAGCAGAGAGAGGAAGTAGGGGAAGGCTCTTGGCCACCCAGCCAGGCTGAAAGGAATTGGGTCTAGCCTCTTTCCCATCAATATGCATCCTGCAGAGAGGACCCAGGGAGCCTTGCCTTTTCAACCTTCCTTGCCTTGGTTCGTATAGTCCATTGGTTCCTATAGTCCATTCTTTCTAGAAATTTTTCTGTCTCCTTGGTAAAATGCCTAAGCCAAAAATGTCACTGGCCACACTAAGGCCTCAGAACAGCACATGAATGTTAACAATGACAGTTAACTTAAGATTGTTCTGAGGGATGGGCAGCCCTAGATACTCCTTCCTTACAACCCCAAAAGGCTCCTTTGAGAGTTAGAAGCCAGAGGCTGTTGCCTTGCAGGGACTGGGAAAACTCCCCTCCCCATCCCTGGAAGCGTAAGCCCACCTTGGTGTTGAGCACAGCCTTGCCGGTGTGCTTAGTGAGCAGTGCAGCATACTCCTCTGCAGTGTGCTTGCAGGTGCTGAGCCCAATGTTCTGTCCCACGTACTCTTCTGGCATCTTCAGCAGGCTGAGCACCACAGGACCCAGGTCGCTCACAGCCATGCCATCCATGGGCACATCACCCATAGGCAAGTCTGTGGGGCAGAGAGACGTGCTGGCCGACACGGCCTCCTCGGGGTATCTGGAGCCGCTTCCCAGCAGTCAGTCCACTGGGCACCTGGACACCGACCTGTGTGGTGGCGTCCAGGAGTAGGTGGGTCCTGCTATCTTCACCCAGAAAATGGTCATCCAGCTGCCTGTTCAGATCACCCAAGGGGCCTGAGGGGATGGAGCCTGTTACGATTTGAGTCTAGGGGTCCCCCTAAAGCCTCCTGTGGTCACAGGTGGGGCTTTTCAGAGGTGGCTGGATCTAGAGTATGTGATGCTAGGATTAAGGATGTGATGACTGGACTGATTCGTGGGGCCATGCTAGGATTAAGGGTGCCCCACCCTGGGTGTGAGTGCTACCTGCCCTACGGGCAAGTAGCTTGGATAGAATATAAGGGACAGAAAGGGGGCTGCTGTGGCCACTTGCTATTTTGCTGCCTTCTGCCTGCCAAGGACTTTGTCTTCTGTGATGCCCCTCTGCCATGCTGCCCTGCCTTGGAGCCAGCCAATTATGGACTGAAACTTCTACAAACTCTGAGCTGAAATAAACCTTTCCTCCTTTAACTCTGGGTGTCGCGTATTTTGCCTCAGCAGTAAGAAGGGTAAGACCGAGCCCAACTCAGAATAGAATGCAAGAGGAGCTGGGGATTTAGCTCAGTGGTTCTGCCGCCTGCATCACAAGTGCAAGGTCCGGAGTTTGATCCCCGGTACAAAAACAAAAACATGCTATTCTTTTTTTTTTTTGATACTGGGGATCAAACTCCGGACCTTGCACTTGCAAGGCAGATGGCGGCACCACTCCCCATCTTTGAAGAAAAAGTAAGAACAAACATGCTCCTTTCTCTGTAAATCTGTCCAGCAGACAAAGCATCACATCACCACTACTGTCAGAGATTTTCTCATTGCCCCTATGGACATCAGTCAAGGCCAAGTCTCAGGTCTGATGTGAGGAACCAGAGCTTGGACTCGGAAACACCTGACAAGCCTGCTTTCCTATTATACCCGCAGCTTCACAGGGTAAGAACTCTCCTCGCTGTACATGGGAAGGGCACTCACTCAGCAAGTAGCTTTTTCCATCTGGAGCTCTCTGGGGCAGAAAGAAGGAAAGGAGGTTCTCAAAATAGCAGGGCAGCCGCACACTGGTCATGGGAATGCCGATGTCTCGGAAATACTCCTCCACTTCCCCTTTGCCGTCAAAGTGGCCAGCTGTCAGCCTCCCAGCCGTCAGCTTCTTGATGTTCTCCAAGCCACTGTAGACCACGTAGTGGAGGCCCAGGCGCTTGGCCAGATCAGCCAGCAGCTTTCCCTGGTAGGCAGAGGAGAGACCACAAGGCTAAGAGGACGGATGTGCGTAGCCCCTACTGATGCTCTAATCCCAGAGTTGTCACACCTGGGAGGTTCAGCCCTGGGGCCACCTACCCAGGAAGAAACCCGCTCTTCCAGAATGATGCTCACACACGGCACCACCTCCTTCAACTCACAACTATAAACTTTCAACCGCCAGGCTCTAAGGTCACCTTTCTAGAACATTTGATTATTCTCAAGTGCAGCCCACTCTGTGCAAGGGAATGTGGGCACGTCTGCTGCCTGGGGGCGGGCTTCACAGAGAACCATCTGACATCCACGTCCCATTCTTGCCGGCCCGAGTCTTGTCCATGGAGCTCAGCTTGGGGAAGGACATGCGATGGCTCCACTACAGAGGAGCTATGGTGTGGCAGCTAAGCACACAGGCTGCACAATCCAGGATGTGTGATACATTCCGACTTCATCAGTTAAATGTAAGCAATAAGCCAAGCCTGGTAGCATGGGCCAGTAATCCCAGCTGTTAGGGAGACTAAAGCATGAGGATCACATGTTCAAGTCCAGCCTGGGCAACTTATCAAGACCGTGTCTCAAAATGAAATTTGCGCCAGGTGTGGTGGTGCACACCTATAATCCCAGAACTCGGGAAGCTCAGGCAGGAAGATCATCATGAGTTTGAGGCCAGCCTGGACTACAGTAAGTTCAAGCCAGCCTGAACTAAATAGCAAGACACTATCTATAAATAAATAAAAATAAAATTTGAAAAAAGAGCTGCATGTGCAGTTATCCCAGCTCTGAGGTGAAGGCAGAAGGATTGGCCTGAGTTCAAGGCCAGCCTGTGCTATGCAGTGAGTTTGAGGTCAGCCTGAACTACATAATGAGATTGGCTCAAAAACGAATAAAGGGCTGGGACTGCATCTCAATGGTACAGCATTTGTCTAGCAAACATGAGGCTTTAGATTCAATCCCCAGTACCAGAAGGGGAAAAAACAAAAAACACCCAAGCAAATAATATTTGCTTCATTGTGTAGGTTATTGGATAGCATGCCCACGTCCTCACCCTTGAAAACCTGACTCTGACTTTATTCACAGAAAGGGTCTTTGCAGTTGCCATTAAGGATCTTTAAAGAGATTATTCAAAATAATGAAGTAAGCTCTAAATCCAATGACAAGTGTCCTTATGAGACAAACAGTAAAAGACACAGAGGAGGCCATCTGAAGACAAAGGGACAGAAACTGGAGTGATACAGCCACAAACCAAGGAATGACCAGAGCCACTAGCTGCGAGATGTGAGAAAGGTTCTCTCCTAGAAACTTTGAAAGGTCTGTGGCCTCGCTGACAGCTTGATTTTGGACTTGTAGCACCCAGAATCAGGAGAAAATCCATTTCTGTGGATTTTAAACCATCTGTATTATGTTCATTCATTATAAAAGTCCCAAGAATCTCAGAGGTTTCTCAAAATTAAAGAGATGAGATCAATACTCTGGTTTCTCTTCAGATTGAATAAATCTTTCACTTCTTACTAAAACTAAATAAATTTTTAAAAAAGATGAGATCTGCTCCAACAATAGAAGTTGTCTTTGTCCACTCTGTGTACTCTGTTGCCTAAGAGTTCATGTGCTTGGGTCTGGGATTTAGCCTTGCAAGCGTAAGGTCCTGAGTTTGATCCCCGGTACCAAAAAAACCCACAAAACTTATCTGCTTGAGAATTTGGTCCCCCATCCAAGCCCACTGGTGCATAAAGAAGAGTGGAAAGGTCACGATGCTCTTTTGGCAAGATGGAGTTGCTCTTTTTTTTTTTTTTTGGTGATTGTGGTAGTACTAAGGATTGGGCCTAAGGAGCACTAAGCTATATCTCCAACTCTTTATTTTGCGACAGAGTCTTGCTAAATTGCCCAGCTAGCTTTGAACTTGAGATCCTCCTGCCTCAGCCTCCCCAGTAGCTGGGATTATGCTACTTGTAAAACTAGCGCTCCTAGTCCTGGCCTCCCTTCTCAAGCCTTCATACCTGCCCTTACCTGCTTGATCTCCTGCTCCTGGCTACAGTTCTCCCAGTAGTTTGTCACAATGAAAGCAGCGTGAGCTCCAGTCAGGGCCTTCTCCATGCTGGCCCCGTCATTCTGGTCTCCCTGTACTACTTCTGCACCTTGCAGCCTCAGCTCCTTTGCTGCCTTCTGCCCAGGGTCCCGGGTCACTACTCGAACCCTGAACGTTCCATCTTCTAGGAGTGTACGGGCCACTGAGCCCCCTTGGGCACCTGCAAAGTGTCAGACAAACAAGTCCCATGAAGGGTGAAGCCTGGAAGACACTGCTCCACTCTAGCAGGAAATAGTCACACGTGATTCTTTATGCGCTCAGTTTGCCATCACATACACTATAGTTACTTATTTTTGTTGTACAAGAAATTGAACCCAGGGCCTCACAATGCTAGGCAAGTGCTCTACCCCAGCCTTATTAAACATTTTTTTTTTTTTTGAGACTGGGTCTCACTATGTAGCCCAGGCTAGTCTGGAACTCAGGCTGGTCTGGGTGCTGAGATTACAAGTGTGCGCCACCACCCCTAGCCTAAACTACTTTTAAATGTGTCATTAAGATGAAATTCACTTACCATAAAATTTATCTTTTTCTTTTCTTCCTTTCTTTCCTTGAGGCACTGAGCTACATCCCAGCCCTTTTTAAATTTTGTTTTGTTATAAAATGTTTGAGACCGGGTCTCGCTGTAGCACAGGCTTGCCTTGAACTTACTAAGTAGCCCAGGCTGGCCTAGAACTAGAAGGAATTTGCAATCCTCCTTCAGTTTCCTGAATGCTGAGATTACAGGGATGCCTAGTTCACTTCACCCTTTTATAAAATTTTAGAGTTGGACATGAAGTGATGTGTACCTACTTGTAGTCCTAGCTACTGAAGAGGCTTAGACTCAAGAGGGTCACTTGAGCTCAGAAAACTGAGGCCAGACTGAGCAATGCAAAGAAAAAAAAAATCTATGCCTTTTAAAAATGCCAAAGGGAGCCAGGCGGGATGGTGCACACCTGTAATCCCAGCACTCGGGGAAGCTGAGGCAGGAGGATCACTGAGAGTTCGAGACCAGCCGCCTGGGCTACATAGTGAGTTCCAGTTCATTCTCAACTACATAGTGAAACCCTGTCTCAACCCTCCCCAAACAAAACAAAACAAAAATAAAAATGCCAAGGAAGGGCTGGAGATTTAGCTCAGTGGTTCTGCTACCTGCCTTGAAAGTGTTAAGGACCCGAGTTTGATTCCCCGTTTAAAAAAACAAAACAAAAAAGCCGAGGAAAAAAATAATTAAAAATGCCATGCCTGTAACCCCAGCACTCGGGAGGCTGAGGCAGGAATGCTGCAAGTTCGAGGCCACCAAAGGCTACACAGTTCAACCGTATAACAAGACTGTCTCAAAAAATAAATTGCTTTGCTGCCTTCTGCCTGCCAAGAACTGTTTCTCCCCTCTGCCATGCTACCCTGTCCTGGAGCCAGCTAACTATGGACAGAAACCTCTACAAACTATATGGGGATATAAAAGGCTGGGGATTTAGCTCTGGTTTTGCTGCCTGCCTCGAAAGTGCAAGGACCTGAGTTCAATCCCTGGTACCAAAAAACAAACAAAACCCACAAATGGGGATGTTCAAAACGGCAGGGCACACTGGCACATACCTGTAATCTCAGCAGTCTGGGAGGCTGAGACAGAAGGATCGCAAACTGCAGCATAGCTTGGGCAAATTATTTAACCAAACCCTGTCTCAAATTTTTAAAAAAGGGCTGGAGATGTAGCTCGTTCCAAAGGTTCTGGGTTCAATTCCCAGTATCGGGGAGGGCAGCAACTTGGTAACTGATGGAAGAGGCAGGTGGGAAAGTTTAACTTTGTTTTGTTCTGTTTTTTGGTACTGGGGACTGAACTCGGGTCCTTATGCTTGCGAGGCAGGCGGCACCACCGAGCTAAATCCCCGGCCCGGGAAATTTTAATTTTGGTATCCTCTTCAAGACATTTTTGTTGTTGCTGCTGCTACGTAGAACCCAGGGACCCCGCGCATGCCAGGCAAGTGCTTAACCAACTAAGCTACATCCCCAACCCTTTTTTTGAGGCAAGGTCTTGCTAAATCAGCCGGGGCCTGCCTGGCACTTAAGGATGCTCCTGCTTCAGCCTCCCCGGTGGCTGGAATTGCCAGCGTACGCAATCACATCCAGTAAGGTAAGTTAAATTTACTTACTCATTTTTAAATTCACTAGTAATGTGCGCCCCGAGAACTTCGGCCCTCCCTCCCTCCAGCTCCCAGGCGCGGCCTCGGCTCTGCAGGGCAAGCAGAGCCCTGTGCCCTCCGGCCTCGCTCACCTGTGGCTCCGAAAACCACCACCAGTTTCGTGGCCATGAGGGCCGAGGCCAAACGGATGCAGCCCCGACAGGCCTGGGGGACTAGGCGCGGAGGTGGGGAGGGGGCAGGGGTCTCCTCCCTGACCTGAAGGCGCCCGGAAAGCGAAAGCGCTTTCTGAAACCGCAAGACCCTATCCACGCAGTCTGGAACCCCGACCCCTCGGGCCCGCGCACAGCCCCAGCGGCCAGTGGGAAAATCTCGCGGGAACCGGGACCCGGTAGAGTCCACTGCGGAGGGGGGACGCGGCGTACACAGTTCGTCTTCCTTAACGGAACCCTCTTCCGGCCGCAGCCATTCGCCCCTGGCCGAGATGGTTCGTCCCCGTCCGCTGCAGACGACGCTGTCGCCTTCCTTTGTGGGCTTTCTGCCCGGGGGAGCGCGCTAGTCTGGCGGGCGATCTGGTTCCGACCTTAGTGCATGTGGGGCGGGGGGTGGGGGGCGAGCCCGCTGCCGCGCGAAACGGAACAAAACAATAAAGTGTGTATAGGGGAATGAGGTCTTTATTTTGCATGAACATTTGCACTGATCAGGTATTGGCCGTCGCCTGAAGATAATTGCGTTAAGAGGGTTGATGATCCGGCAGGTACAGGAATTTCCAATAGACAGAAGAATGTGGAAGACCCAAGAGTTTACTTAGATCAGATGCACTGCGTACCGCTTGTCAGGGTGAGAAATTTGGATTTTATAGGAATTTGAGACGGGTCTAGACAAAAAAATTTTTTTTTAAACAGTTTTTTTTTTTTTTTTTTGGCTTTTTGAGACAGGGTCTCACTGTGTAGTTGAGACTGACCTGGAACTTATCTGTAGTTCAAGCTATCCTTGAGCTCACTACATAGCCCAAGCTGGCTTCGAAATCGCAACAGGCCTCCTCTCTCAGCCTCCTGAGTGCTGGAATTACCGACAGGCACCAGGACCTGTTTAGACAGCAAATTATCCAAAGAATGTCTCTGTGTCTCTTCCTGGATCATCTAGCACTTTGTAGAGCTTCGAGGAACAGCTGCATTGAGTTAAAATTTACATATATTGGGGTTGAGACAGGTCCTTGCTATGCAGTTCAGGTTGGCCTTGAACTCTCGGTAATCCTCCTGTCGTTTTACAGGTGTGGACCACCATGCCTAGCTGATACTGTATTTTTATCTACAATTCCTGCAAAGCCAGTCACCTCTGGCCATAGATCTTTGGCTTTAAGGAAGTCTATGCGTATCTTTTAGAGAAGATGGGTCCTGACTCAGAGAAATGAAAAGGCAGTACATCGAAGTTTTGTTGCTTTCTCAGATCACTTACCAAGGAGTCTTTAATTGAAGTTCTTTTGTTAAAAGATTTTAACCGGGAATCTTCTCTCAAGCATTTTAGTGATTTTAGTTCCCAATGGGCTGGCCACTAATAAATAAATGTTCAGGACTTTCACTTTTTTATTTTCTTCGCAGTGCTGGTGATTGGACCTATGGCCTTCCACTGCTAGGTAAGCACTCTACCCCTTAGCTACGTTCCTGGCCCCTTTAAAAGCTTTTTGTTGTTTGTTTTTATAGTACTTTGATCCAGAATGTTTAACCAGCCCCCAACTTTGATCTTCCTGCCACTGGTGACTCACTTTTGAAATTGGTACTACTTACACAGATTGGAATTCTTTTCCCAGAAAAGTGAGATTTCTTTGTGTTAGGCTAAAACTCAAAAGTGACTCTGTCACTCCTCTTCTGAAAAGTTATTGCTGAGAAGGTGCTTTTCTTGTTTAATTCATACCTCTCAGTGTGTGTTGACCCCTCTGGAATGTCACCTGTAGAGCAGATGCTTTGTGTGTTCACCTCTGATTTGTAAGGCTGCAAATAATACAGGGAACAGAGTAGGCACTCAGACGTTTGCAGACTGACTGCTAAAGAGCTATGGGAACTGCATGTTTGTTTTTAAGATGGTTTCTCACTGTGTAGGTCAAGCTGGCCTTGAACTCTCTATGTAGCACAGGCTGGCTTCAAACTGGGAAAAGGTAGTCTTTTCTGTCAAAAGAGACAATTAAGGGCCAGGGATTTAGCTCTGGTTCTGCCGCCTGCTTCGTAAGTGCAAGGACCTGAGTTCAATCCCCGGTACCAAAAAAAACGAGAGAGAGAGATAATTAAGTCCATTTTATAAGCATCCCCCCACTTTTTTTTTGTACTGGGGATCAAACTAGGGACCTTGTGCTTGTGAGGCAGGTAGTGGCACCATTGATCTAAATTCCTGGCCTAAGAATCTCTATTTTTGTACAACCCTATTTTTGTAGAATATATATGTGTTTGTTTCGCTGTTTTTTAAAAACTCGAGGAAAAGTGCTATGTGCCTGTCCACCTGCCATAAAACTTTGTAACAAAGCACTTTCTAGATCCCAGAACTCTGCTTTGCCTAGCAACCAGGATCTCATTAAAATACTAATTGAGTTAGATTGTGAGGCCACATTCCCACCAATGGAGCAAGGCACAGTGACCATCCCAGTGAACTGCCTGCATGGTGTGCTTGCTTGCTTCTAGCTCTGCACTCTTCTGCAGAAGTAAAGTTTGCCTTGCTGAGGCTCTCTCAAGAGTTTGTGTTTTCTTTGTCCTGTTTGTGACACCAGAGAATTCGTGCCCAACAATTTGGCACCCAATGTGGATCCCTCTGCCTGGGGAGAGATGTGTCCCTCTACCCGGTTGTGGTGACCTTGAGGGCCTGGGTGATTGGTGCTCCTTGAACTGGTAAGGACCCTAGGATAGAAAAGCTTTTGACAATTATAAAACAGGGCCCAAGCAAGCGGGGCAGCAACCGGGCAACTCTACACAGATCAAGGGAAGAAACATCACAGATGGTGACAAAGTATTTCCTTGGTGGTCAGGTCATCACTGGGTTGTTGGAGATTGAGACCCGTCTGGGACATGAAGCAAACATGACGTCCTGATACACAGTTCTGTAGACGTCCGGGTAACCACATATAGTCCCTTGAGGGAGTCAGTCAGAGATGGAAAAAGTGTTTGAGCTAGGGTGCAAGAAACCTCCATGCGGGGAGGGGTTGAGCCTCTAGGGAACCTCTCATACTTAGAAAAGCCACCATGAGTAATAATCAAGCTTAAAAGGGCTTTAGAGAAAAAAGAAATTAAAAGTCCCTCCGGGGCTGGGGATTTGGCTCAGTGGTTCTGCTAAGCGCAAGGGCCAGAGTTCTATCCCTGGCACACACACACACACACACACACACAATCCCTCCAGATAGCCCCTTGGGGGCAAATTGTCCTGACATTGGAATGATAGTGAAAACTAAGAGGGCAGGGGTATGGGGAATAAACAAGAACCAGGACATATAATGTAAAGGTACAAGATCCCAATGTTAAATGTAACTGTATTGTTTGCTTTAAATGTAACAATAAACTTAATGGGGACAAAATAAATAAAATGTACCAATAAATGTTTTGCTTAAAAAAAAAAAAAAAAGGAGATAAAATTATCCATTTTGTTGGTCTCGGTGGCACACACCTGTAATCCCAGCACTTGAGAGGCTGAGGCAGGAGGATTGCCACAAGCTTGAGGCTAGCCTGGGCTACATAGTGAGTTCAAGACCAGCTTGAACTATACAGTGAGACCCTTTCTCAAAAAAACAAAAAAAAGATAGATGAATTTCAAGACAAGACCTAGGGATGTAGCTCAGTAGTAGAAGAGGGCTTGCCTAGCAACACGAGGCCCTGGATTCCATCCCTATTATGCACACACACACACACACACACACACACAAGACACCAACAGCAGAGCAAGGGGCCCTGTGAGCACACAGGACCCTGATGTAGGAAAATAAGTGTTCATTATAAGAGCCCAGGACAGTGCCAAATAATCTCCAGGACCCCTGTATGTATTACTTCTTATGGGTTCCCATGAGATGTGGACTGCATAAAAGAGACTGGATACCATGAAAAACCCGCTATCCTATTTATTTGTGTGAGACCAGGTCTTGCTGTACAGTTCAGGCTGGCCTTGAACTCACTATGCAGCCCAGGCTGGGCCTCAAACTCCCTCAGTCTCCTAAGTGCTGGGACTGCAGTTGTGCACCCCCACACCGGACTTAACCTGACCCTTCACTGGTACTTCTATTTTTGCTCTTTTTCTCTTCCACCTTTGGTTAGCCCAACTTCGCTTTGCAGCGCCAGTTTCTCCCTTACCCCTTTATCCCTTCTCAAATAAATTTTGGCTTTTTTGAGACAGTTCTCACTTTGTAGTTTTATTTTTTATTAATTAATTAATTAATTTGACTGGGGATCGAACTCGGGTCCTTGCACTTGCGAGGCAGGTGGCAGAACCACTGAGCTAAATCCCCAGCCTTCACTTTGTAGTTGAGACTGACCGGGAACTCACTATGTAGCCCAAACTGGTCTTGAACTCACAGTGATCCTCCTGCCTCAGCCTCCCGAGTGCTGGCATTATTTTTGGCTTTTCTCATTCAATTCTTTGTTTGAGGCAAGAAGGACCTGGCACATGTTTAACTGGCAATCCATTTCTAAAAGGAAAACCTTAAGGCAACCCTGTGCGATTGCTGTGCCTCTTACTCTTGAGGCTGGCTCATCCTGTTTAATTGAGAGTATTCACTAGGGTCACAGCTCCTTCATGCCCTTTGGAAGTCAGTCAGGCACTGGCTGGAGGTGAACCCAATCTCTGTTCCCTAGGCTTCTAGCCACAGTTCAGGGTGAGGAACTACGAGTGAGAGAGCAGTTTGGCAGCCTTCAGCAAAGCTCTAATCTCTTTGAAGCCCCACCCAGCCCCACAGGAGAGCGGAGATTTAGCTACTGATTGGTACCTTCAGGAGTGACTCAGCTCTTTCTAGGGGACTTTTATATCTAATATAGGACTTGCTGTAAAGCACTTGACAGTTTACCCAGACTGGTGACATGAACTAATGATACGCTCCACTGCACTTTTTTTTTTTTAATGTAGCTGCCAAATTATCTCATAGCAACTCCTCCTCCAATGAGTTTAGTCCCGTTTTCCTTTTATGGTACCAGGAATTGAACCCAAGGCCTTGTGATTGCTGGGCAGGTGCTGCACTGCTGATCTATTACTCTCAGCCTAGTTGATTCACCTTTTATGTGTCCGGGCAGAGGAGAGGGCTGCCTAGGGTAATTCCTGTCACCCCTGTCTTAGACATTTATTTTGAACCTAGGGTGGTAGTCACAAGAAATTTCAGCTGCTTGGGATGGGGAGCAGGAGCATCACAAATTTAGAGCACAGCCTGCCTAATTTAGTGAGACTGTTGCAGTGGAACTGGCCAATAATAGTCCAGGCTCCTGTGTACAATGAGAAAAGAACTGTCAAATATACACCTAGTAATAAGCAGCTACTTTTTTGTGTTTTGTTTATTTGTTTGTTTGTTGGAGACAGGGTCTCCCTGTGTAGTTCAGCCTGGCTTTGAATTCACTATGCAGCCCAGGCTGACCTTGAACTCGAGGCAGTTCCTCCTGCCTTAGCTGCCCCAGTGCTGGTACACACAAGACATAGGCCACCACCCTTGGCAGCAGCTACATTTATTTATTTATTTGTGTTGAAAGTTTGCTTTTTTTTTTTTTTTTTTTTCCTTTTAGCAGCTACATTTATTGAAGTTGTCTTCAGGGCAAATCTGTACCACCATAAGATAAAGCATAGGCAGAAAACGGTGCCTGAGTGACAGAAAAGCAAGGCACACAGGTCAAAGTATGCCAAAATAGTAACAGCAACAGAAAGCTGGATAAATTAGGCTTTGAAATTTAAAGACCAGGGCTAGCTGAACATGGTGGCGCATGCCTGTAATCCCAGCACTCAGGAGGCTGAGGCAGGAGGATCTCTGTGAGTTAGAGACCAGCCTGGGCTACATAGTGAGTTCTAGGGCAGTCTGAACTACATAGTGAGACCCTGTCTCAAACAACAACAACAACAACAAAAACCCCAAACAAACAAAAACGAATAGGGTAGGCAACAGAATCTTCAGTTGGCTCAGGAGTCAGGCCACAACTGATTCCTTTCTTATGTGTGGCTAAGATTCCATGCTAGCTGGTAACATATAAACTATCTTACTTTTTGGGATTTCAAAGTGGCAAGCACCTCAACCTGTCACCTTTGAACATTTAAGCATAAACTCAGTTTTTTGTTTTTAATATTTATTGTTAAAATCAACATATATAATTATAGTAAAACTTTGGATTGTGAGCATAATTTGTTCTGGAAACATACTTGTAATCCAAAGCACTTGTATATCAAATTGAATTTTCTCATAAATAATGGAAATTCAGGTGATGTATTCTACAGCCACCAAATATTCATATAAAATTGATTATAATACTTTAATATAATCCAAAATAATATAGAAAATACAAAATATAAAGAAAAATACACAAATTAACCTGTACTTACCTTTTTTGTTTGTTTGTTTGTTTTGTTTTGTTTTGTTTTGTTTGAGACAGGGTCTCACTATGTAGTTGAAACTGACCTGGAACTCACTATGTAGCC